CTGACCGTGTGGTGTATGAAATGTTAAAAAACCTACCAGCCGAAACACGAAAAACCTTACTTTGTTTGTACAATGCTATCTGGTTTTCTGGCACTATCCCTACCTCCTGGAAAGAGGCTATTATTATTCCCATTTTGAAAGAGGGCAAGGACCCTTCTTTAGCTCCAAGTTATAGGCCTATTGCACTTACAAGTTGCTTGTGCAAAGTCTTCGAAAAAATGATAAACTGCCGACTTGTACATATCCTTGAAACAAACAATTTGTTCGACCCATTTCAGTGCGGGTTTCGAGAAAGTAGATCCACCGCAGACCACCTTGTTCGTATCGAGGCACAGATCAGAGACTCCTTCGTCCATAAACAATATTTTCTCTCTGTTTTCCTCGATATCGAAAAGGCTTATGATACAACATGGCGTTTTGGAATTCTAAGAGACCTGTCCCACCTTGGTGTGTGCGGAAGAATGTTTGATATAATCGAAAGTTACCTGTCAAACCGGACATTCCGTGTCCGTGTGGGCAGTGTTCTCTCCCAAACATTTGTCCAGGAAACAGGCGTGCCACAAGGTGGTGTGCTTAGTTGCACACTTTCTATTATAAAAATGAATTCTTTGTACTTGTCCATCCCCCACAATATGTTCTATTGTACCTATGTCGACGACGTTCAGCTTGGCTTCAAGTCATGCAACTTGGCAATGTGTGAGCGGCAGGTTCAGCTGGGTTTAAACAAAGTCTCCAAATGGGCAGATGAAAACGGATTTCGACTTAACCCACAAAAAAGCACGTGTGTCTTGTTCTTTCGAAAGAGAGGCATGCACTCGGAACCTGACATTCGACTGAACGGGCAACGTCTGTACGTCAAAGCCGAGCATAAATTCTTAGGCTTAATCTCGGACAACAAGTTGACCTTCGTATCACACATCAAGTATTTAAAAACAAAATGTTTAAAAGCGATGAATGTTATAAAAGTGTTGTGACGTACTACTTGGGGTAGTGACAGGCAATGCCTCATGAATCTGTATCGAAGCCTCATTCGCACCCGCTTAGATTATGGGGCCATTGTTTATCAGTCTGCAACTCAAAGTGTTTTGAAGATGCTGGACCCCGTGCACCATTCGGGCATCCGCCTTTCTACGGGTGCTTTTCGCACCAGCCCCGTAGAAAGCCGTTACGTTGAGTCAAATGAGTGGTCGCTTCATCTGCAAAGAACTTACATGTCCTTTGTATATTTCCTTAAGGTGAAAGCAGACAAGAGGCACCCCTCATACTCTACTATTAATGACTTGTCGAGCTCCATTCTTTTTCAAAACAGGCCTTCAATGAGGCAGCCCTTCTCAGTTCGCCTGAAGGGTCTAGCTGAGGACACTGGAGGGTCACTCGAACACAGTTTAATGGCTCCTGTAGCATATCTGCCACCGTGGCAATGGCAGACTATAGACTGTGATGTGTCCTTTCTAGAAGTTACAAAACATGTGCCTATTGCCCATACCCGAACATACTTTCTGGAACTTCATTACAAATACACACGTCCTGAGTTCTTTACAGATGCCTCCAAGTCCAACTCCTCTGTGTCCTACGCTGCTGTCGGCCCATCCTTTTCGGATTCTGGCCCTCTACATCCAGGCACAAGTATCTTCACAGCAGAAGCTTACGCGATACTTGTGGCAGCTAAACACATCAAACAATTACAAATACAAAAAGCAGTAATTTATACAGACTCCGTCAGTGTGGTAACGGCTCTGCACAGTCTGAAAAAACAAAAAAAACCCGGTCCTTGTCTTACTTTACTCCATTTTCTGCACACTCTACACACTCAAACAACATGTTGTAGTGTGCTGGGTGCCAGGGCACCGTGAGATCGAAGGCAACGTGAGGGCGGATCAGCTCGCTGCATCCGTCCACAAAAGCACTGCCCCTACACCCATAATAATCCCGGCCCTTGATCTTAAGCCGTCTCTCAAACGAAACCTCAGGGACTACTGGCAGAGCAAGTGGGATACACACACACAAAACAAACTACACATTATTAAGCCAAACCTTGGTCATTGGCTGCCAGTATCAAAATCGCGTCGTACAGAGGTAATACTAACGAGACTCAGGATAGGACACACATACACGACACACTCATATCTTTTGTCCGATGGCGACCCACCATTGTGTGACAGATGTGGTGAAGCACTAACAGTTCTTCACATTTTAGTTCAGTGCAAACAATTGGACACTATAAGAAAACAACACTTTCCATTACCCTACCGACAACATATACCTTTACACCCTGCAATGTTCGTCGGTAGGGAACCGCTTTTTAGTTATAAATCATTATTGTTAGCGTTTTTAAAAGAAATTCATAGTTTTCATATCATATACCCGGGCATTCCGTAGCACGACCTCTCCTGAGAGGTTTTCGCTGCGGTGGCTACACAAGAAAGCACTTGCCTCAGGGCCCTTGGACGCAACGGTATGAACGAGTGAGGCACTTGTGCTAATGCCATACATATCCACCATCGTCTTTTATTATCACTAACTTTTGTCATCTATTCGCACCACACACACGTTTCACGGCATGGTCATGATTTTATTACTTGTATGTTTTTACCCGCCTTACCGCGAGGAATTTTATGGCCCTTATACAGCCGGTAATCACAATCATCGTCCACATTCCTTGTCCCATGAACTGGCGCTCTTTGGCCATCAAATGGCCCTTGCGCCAAAAAACACCATATATCATCATCATCCTTCCCACTTTCGATGCTCTTCTAAAACTTAGCTTGATATGGTTGTGATCACTACCCAGGCTTCTGGAGCCACCTTCATCTATGTGCATTCCTTTGAGCTTATCATACATCCTATGTGACATCAGTGCGTAATCTATCGTTGACTGCAGCCTTCCTACCTCCCATGTTATTTGCCCTTCACACTTCTGAGTACTGTTGCAAAGGTTCAAATCATGCCTTTCACGCATATCCATGATCATTTTGCCTGTTGAGTTAGTATAACCATCTATATCTTCTATGTGCGCATTCATATCTCCTAGTATAATTATCTTGCACTCTCCTCCTAATTCCTCAATGTCCTTTGATATACACTCCACCATTGCCTGGTTTTCTTCTCTGGCCTTTGCTCCCATCCACAAGTACACCAAACCAAGGAGTGTCATCTGCCCGGCTACTTTCCCTCTTAACCATAAATGTTCCATGCATCCCTGCTTGACTCTTTGCCAACCTATGCTCTTATGTATGAATGCACCAATACCACCCCCCTTTCTGCTGCCTTCTATTCTATTACAATATTCCCATGCGTAGTCCGGATTCAAGGTGGTTGCTCCATGTCCCGAAAATGTGTCTCCACAACCCCATATACCATCATCTCCTCCTGCCTCAACTGCTCTTCTATCTCTTCCAACTTTAACCTATTCCTGCATGTTAATATAGCCTACGTCTGACTTAGCTCGGTCTTTGTGCTTACGTCGATTTATTCTCCCACGGACTCCGTGTGGCTTGAATATAATTTGTGCCCTTCTAAAACTGTCTTTGGCTACACTGTTGGCTTTAGGGCTCTGGGTCCCCCTAAAGAAGCTGTGGCTTGATGACCCATTCTATTACCGACCCTCCCGCCCGCCGCACCACTGTAGTGAATGCTATCCTGTTCGAAGGGGCGAGCGCCGGGCTCTTACACGTCTTGGTTAACTTCCATTACGCTGTATCTGAGTTGCCGGCTCATACCCTTGATCACACAATTGGCCACCACTACCCTCCTTTCGATCCCACGAGACTGCTCCCAGACCTCTGGAACTGTGCATACGGTCACATGCACACTCCCAGAGGCTTCTCGGAGCTTACGCATCCCATCCTCTAACTTTCTCTGAAGGTTTTGATCTTTGCCCTTCAACACATCATTGAGCCCAGCATGAATAATGACGAGATTTTCGCCCTCCATGCTGTTCTCTACAACCTCCTGAACTTTGGCCAGTGCATCCACCATGCTCTTCCCTGACTGGGCCTCCACCCTGACTCTCCCATCTTCCTTCACTGTCTTCAAGACGCCATCCCTAACCCTGGCCACGTTAGTCCCCCCACCACCAGGACCCTTCTACGCTCCAATCACTGACTTCCTGTTTGTGACGGCTGCTCTGTTTGCTTCACCTGTTTCTCCCTCTGCCGTCTGCCCTGTGTTTCTGCCCTGCTCGAAGACTGCCGCTTCATCGAGCTGTATGTTCACGGAGCCTCCGTGCTGTGGCCAGATTATTATTATTATGGTAGCGCCAAAACACACAGCCTAGCAAGTAGGCGTAGCAAAAAATGTCTTCCAATGCGTAGCCTAGCGAGTAGACGCAGCAAAACCGAACTTGCACGTGCATATCAATTTTCTTTTTTATAGGAGAGCAAGGGAGTCACGGCTGATTAGTGTAAGCGCCCAGGAAGCGTTCTTTGAAAACGTGCCACAAAGGGCACTGACACTTCAGCGTGTCACTGTGTTCAGTGGGCGTTCCATTTTCTTAGTATCCCTGGTGGTTGGTACCAACAATGCTTAGCCGGCCCAAAGTTTAGCCCAAAGAGCTTCATCGCGCCCTCTGGTTCACTGTCGGGTGCGTATAGAACCTCCTTGGTTATGATTGAATAACTCTGCCTCTTCACAGAACACCTACCATTCCTTGCTTGTCTTGTCGCCTAGAAGATCTTGGCTCATACCCACAAGGGGGATTGGCCACACTGTACATTATAAGAGATATTTTTTTGTACAACGCTTGCTAAAAAAAAGAGAAATTAGATATAAAAATATAAGAAACTTTATACTGACGTCTATATGTTTTCAAAACTTCGAGCGTTTCTGACAACAAATATTCGGCTATCTGATGTCTATTTTTGTGGGTACGTTAGAATATTTGCTGTTTCATTTTAAAAATTATTCAATTGTAAGAAGAGCGTGCAGCGCATAGACATATTGTGCGTTGGGCTTAAAACAATTTGGCTAGTACTGTCCTCTGGCGGTTGTCAAAGTGTTCGCTGTGCAGTGCAGTCCTCGCGCGTGTGTTGGTCATAGAATGGCAGCGGTTGTGGCGGTAGAGTGCGCGTGCTAGAGTGAGCAAGTGCTTGTTATTCGTGTTAACTTCTTGGAAAACAGCCTGGGAGGTCGACTGCATTAATCCGGTAAGATTTGTTTTGTCCGTGCCTTACTTCGCTTTATCTGTAAATTCTCGCAGGCTGAATGGGTTGCTCGAATGCTTCCTCGTTCGCACGTAACGTAGCGCTCCGTCATTCCGAAACCTGAGGCAATAGTTCCGGGACGGATGTAATACTACCTCTTCGGTCCTAATGACGAGTGAAAATATGATTTGCATTCTGGCGCGTATTGTACGAAGTGTTCGGTCGACTTAAGAGCTGTGCGGATTTTTGAGAGAACGAGTCTTTTGGGGCAGTTGCATGTGTTCGGGTTGACCGCTTTTCGTTGTTTTGGAAGTGGTACACCCGCCAGGTCTCTCGCTTCTGGCCGAATCGCATCACCTACAGCGCGTGTCAACACCTGGCCCACTTTCACCTTTACGTTTTGACAAGCAGGCTGCTGGCCCGCTGGCTGTCAGATTTACCGTGTTGTTACCGCTTCGATGAGTCACGACTGTTTGACCTGACGTGTGTTTACGTCTCCGCGCCGGTCATAGCCTCAAACAGGTTTCGCCGCTCGGCTCCGCTCAACCGCGATAAATCGACCTTCGAGTAGAAGTGGTGCGTTTGCTATCGGCTCGTCGAGTAGATGCATTGACGGGATCTCGCACTGGGCTCGTTATCGGAGCTTCGCAGCTCTGGGGGAAACGCGGCTATGGCACTTGGGGAGTGGCGTCTATGCTGCGATTGCCAAGGTGGAGGCCAATCTCTGAGCTGAGGTAGACGTCCGGGAAGCTGATAAAACACGGCCGGTGAGCCACGGTGCCTACGTTGCACCTAGTCCGAACGCAGCAGAAGCCGGCTAGCTTGCACAAGGCTCAGCCAAACCGACCAATCCTTCCACTGCCAATATTATTTATTGAGCGGGACAATTGAGCGTAAACGTGGTTCAGGAACAGCGCTCTCTTGCGCGAGAGCGCTGTACACCCGAACGTCTACCGCAATTTTTCATCGCCGGCTGTTCTGCGCTCGTTATATGTTGGCGACGTTATAACAATGCGAAGGCGAACCGCCCGCACTGCGTGCTCAGCCTTAACGCCAGCTGTTGGGGCTACATTACCGCTCCTCCACAGCTGTGACTCTTGGCTTGTGTTGCTTTGTTTTGATTCTTCTGCAATGCTCATCATTGGTGACAGTCTTGAAGGGAGGGTGCTCGAAACAGTAAAAGAGAAACCACTGTCACCTCCTGCATCTGTCAGTATGGTGCACAGTGGTTGCGGCAAATTGAAGAGCTAGGCGCCAAATCTTTACCTCTTGGTGTGTCTGTTGAGGATGACTCAATGGGGACACCAAGAAAAGAAACGCTTTACAAGTTGGTGATAGTTTCTCGGCTTTTACTTGCCAAAAGCATAATAGGATTATGAGGCATGCTACAGTAGGGAACTCGAGTAATTTTGACCAACTAGGGATTCTCTGGCGGCTTGGAGCCCGTCATGACCTTTCAGTAAAGTTCTTGACTGACTGACCTGGGCTTCAATGTGTGCCTAAAGCTAAGTACCCACGTCGTTAACCCTCTTCTATCCTGTGAAGCCAAGCCACTACCATCACAGATCATCAGAGAAGGGGCTTTTGCTATTTAAAAGTGTTGCAGCTGGGGCGAGTTGGTTATCTATGAACTTAGCTTCTATTAACGCAGCACATAAGAAAAGGGAAAGACGACACAGGCGTCAAGAAAGGTAGGCGCCTAATTTTCTTGATGCCTCTGTCATCTTTTTCTTTTCATATGCGCCACGCTAATACAACTCAAGTTCAGGGCTTTTATTGCTTTAGAGATTTGTTTCTCTGTTATGAAATCGTCAGAAGCTTGGAATATTAATTCTGGTAGCAATTATATGGACACTCGTCTGATTTTTACGGTCGCTGTCATGTCCTGGATATGTATATGTACTTATAAATGTAAAAAAAGCAATAAAAATAATCAGTGCAAAAAGATTCCAAAGCAACGTATCAAGGATTCAAACAGCGACCCCTCACTCTGTAGCTCACTGCGCTTGCTGACCCAGCCACGTGCCATGCTTGTGTCGGTAACATAATGGCATGGTATTTATATGCACCGTTTACCACTCATGGTACACATATCTTGGAACAGCTTCAGTGTATTTTTTATCTCCAATGCTTTTACATTTACTTTCAAATTGAAAACTGCCCTTGAGATGCACACGAAAAAGGGGCCCCCTTTTTACCATTCATGATGTAGAAGATACTTCTGCGTGGCAGGAGATGCATTGCAAGTGCCGCAGCTTAAATGGAAAAGAAAAATCAAACAGCGTCGGCTTCTGCATTTCGGACATCTGCAGCATGTTCCTCAAGTACAAACTTTTGTGTAACAATTGGGACAGGTGTTACTTCACACTTGTGCTGCATATACTTATGCATTCTTTTCGAGCACCCTTTTTGTGCTTCAGCAGCATGCTAAAAGTATCAAGCTGCTTGTTGTTCTTCATTTTATAATCTACTCTCTTTCTATCGCATTCATTCCTTCACCCTAATGCCGAAAGTGTGACTTGTTTGCGTTGGGGGCCAGTAATGCCACCACTTTCACCCCGATAAGCAGTGATGGTAGCAGTGCAGCTTTGCTCGAGCCAGTGATAAGGCAAGCATTAAAATATCAGGATGCGTCAGCCAAATGTGTCCACACACTCTCACTATCTGCAGCACATCTGCTGATAGAGCACGCTGACATGCAGTTTTTCTCTGTTTGGCCACAGCTTGTGTGCTTTATTTTACTTTTGGGGCACCTGTACATCCGGAGTAGCATGCTGCGTGTGCTGCCAGCAAACTCTCCAGTACAATCGAACCCCTTTAAAAGAGAGGCTACTGATGTAAGAGACAAAAGGGTATAAAAGGTGCCAGTGTGCCTACATTGAAATAGGGGTTGATAAGAGGAAGCATAAGTAGTACCCTGCATATAAGAGACACCTCACAAGAATCGTTTCTCGGTGAGTGTCTCTTGTATAAGGGTTGAACTGAACTCATTAAGCAATTTCCCCCTGTTAAGGTAAGGAGGTTGCATGCTCGCGTGCCCAAGCTTTTGCAAAACAAAGTATTGCTTTATGTGGCTAGTCAACAGTGCCCTCAGTATCGGTGTATTGACATCACTTGGCTTTGCTGTTTGTAATCAGGCAATGGCAGGAGAACCAATGAAGGTGCCGCCTCCCGGTTATGCTGAGCCTCCGCCATCTTACCAGGCGTCCATGCAAGGCTTCCAACCCAGTGAGTAATCACCAGGCATTGCTGGTGACTCGTCTTGACTCACGTGTGTACAGCAGTGAAAGTTTTTCGGGCTGGCTGTCTTGAAGCAATTATGGATACCTTAGTGCTGATGTGACACCGACAAGAGCTGACCAGGGCGTGCACTTGTCTTTGGCATTTTTCTTATCCGGGCTACTTCAGCGCTGTAGTCGTACCGTTTTATATTGATCTACATATGTTGAGTTGATTTTTCATTTCTCGTAAACTAGATGTTAGTGTACAAGTGAAGTGCTAACACAAAATTGCAATGTAGAATATTTTGAGGAGGTAATGACTAAAGATATAGCACTAGTGTGGATTCACTGCTAAAAGCATAATGACAAAAAGAAGTGTGAAAGATAAAAATTATGTGAACTTGCTGTGCTAATTATTTAACAGGGCACTCTTACTCTGATACTTATCTCAATGCTAAAGATTCGTAATTTCTTGCCTTCTTTTTTGAGAAATTTAAATTTTCCGGCAACTGAGTGATCTACAGCCACATACATACATCAAATCACGAAAGAACAGCCAAGTACTCATTTTAAATGTTACAAAGTTCACTTAGACAACATTTGTAGTTCTTTCTTTTAATAAATTTCAAGTTCGTTAGTGTAGACACACTTTGTTTTTCCATGAAAGGCAGAATAATATTTCCGCGCGCAGCGCCACAGTCAACATCCTCTACCAGGTGAGAGGGTTAAATGTCACTCCACTCTCCCAGTGCTGCAGAGCGCGAAGGAGAAGAGACATGTCGGGACGCGGCAGAAAAGATGGCAAACCGCGTGCAAAGACAGCGGGCTAGCCTCGATTCCCACAGTATTTAGTGTTGAAAGCTTTCTTTGTGAATTCTCACATTGTTTCAGCCTTTGCTTTTTTTTTTACCCTTTGTGGGGCAGCGGGACTCATATGTCCATTTTTTTTTTTCTTGTCTTCACCACGTTGAAACATTTTTTTTAGATCAAGTTCACTGAATACCCCGCCGCTGTGGTCTAGTAGCTAAGGTACTCGGCTGCTAACCCCCATGTCGCGGTATCAAATCCCGGCAGCGGCAGCTGCATTCCCCATGGAGGTGGAAATGTTGTAGGCCTGTCTGCTCAGATTTGGGCGCATGTTAAAGAACCCTAGGTGGTCGGAAGTTTCCGGAGCCCTCCACTACAGCGTCTCTCATAATCGTATGTTGGTTTGGGGACGTTAAAACCCACATATCAATTCCACTGAACTGATTGCTTTCAAACGTTTTGTGCAATCACGTTAATGTTCTAGAAAGCAGCTTTGCCAGTTGTTTTGATGATATCCACAAGGCATCAGCGCATGCACATGTTAAAAAAAAAAACCATTGTGCTTGCTCGCACTGTATTCTTGTTCAATCAGATTTTCGCATGCTCTCCGCCCAATTCAGCATAACAGACAGGCTTCAAAAGTTTATTTCATACTTGTGAGTCTCTAAATGTGCTGTTGTAGTGCTTTTTTAAAGACGATAGTCTTTCTTGGGGTACTTCGATGCAAAAATTTTGGTCCGTCTGCCTGTATGTACATTTGTCCACCATAACGATACCCCATACGGCTCCAAACGATACCTTAAGCAGCCAACCCCATCCGCAGCGCCTACCGATATTGCTCAAGTTTCAGCATTCATACTTGTGCGATTGGTAATTAAAAATAAATTATTGCGTACCGTACTTACTCGATTCTACCGCGCCCTCGATTGTAGCGCGCACCAGATTTCCACCGCGAAAAAAAAAAAAAAACCGTAAGACATCGATTGCAACGCGCACCCATTTTTCTCGCTGACCCGCACGATCACACCACTCGAAAAAACGACTCCTTTCGGGAGCGTCTTCCATTTAAATATGAGGTACGGGCGAAGATTGTGCCCATCTGACGTGTAACAGAGCATTGCCGTCACTGTAGTTTTACCGTGGACCGATGTCAGCACGCGAACTTTCTTCGCCCCCTTCTTCTCGACGGTTGTGGTGCCAGGCATGTCGAAGTAAAGAGGCGTCTGATCGGCATTCCCGACTTGCCCAAGCAGGTAGCCGTTGTTGCGCCGCAAGTTTAGGACGAACCTCTGAAAACTGTGAAGCTTTTCATCGTACTCCTCCGCAAAACTTTTCGCATATGCATGTTCCCCTTCGGAGGGAAAAGCTTTTCCTCTTCATAAAGTTAGTTAGCCAGCACCTGCTCGCTTTAAACTGGCCCCGCATTACACCTTTTTCTAAGACTAATTGCATAGCCCGCACTTGGAGCAGTTCTGTCGTCACGGGCCGCTGTGCCCCCCGCTGCTTAAGCACATACTCGCCGAGCAGCTCTTTAATTTGCGGAAACCGACCCTGCTGTGGTCCACTGAAGCCTTTGCGTGAAGCTTTGCTGTCGACAATCTTCTGCTTTTTGTTTCCGCCGGTCCCGCACGCACGTTTCGGGAACTCCGAACGACCGCGATGCGGCCCGATTTCCGTCCGTTTCTGCACACGCGATGACTTCTCTTTTAAAAGCGGCATCGTGGTGCACTCGAGTTTTTCGTGTCGGCCCTTCCACGCCGTCGATGCTAATGCACTACTAGATGACGAACTCCTCAGCACACGTACGAAGTGCCGCACATGGGAAACACATAGGCAGAAATGGCCGACGCGCCATGCCGACGCACGTAGGGGGTTGCCATTTTGAATTTGCCGATGGCAATAGATTGACCGTAATTTTTTTGTTCGTACTCGATTCTAACGCGCATGCGATTTATGAACTCGCCTAACCGGAAAAAAGGTGCGCGTTAGATTCGAGTAATTACGGTATATCTGAAGCACTGTAATAACATGTCGATATTCTTTCTGCGTGTTTTTATACTAAAGAAGGCATGCATAAGTAATTCTAAGGACCGCAATGTTTATCACGCTGCACGGACAATAGAATGCGGTGCTCATCAAGGAAAGTGTTTCCAACATTTAGCTAAGACGACACGGTGGTGGCACCTGCCCATCGCTTTGCGTTCTACATCTTATCGCCTCCGAGACAGGTGCACATACCTTCCTTCGTTTCCGAAGATAACTGCCAGATAGTGCTCATGTCCAACGTGCCTTGGTGCGCTCGTTTCGCATTTGCGGCACGAATCGAGATCCTCTAACGCTGCGCCTCCACAATACAATTCACTGATTTTCTCGCGCTGAACATCAAATGTTTTGTTTACTCTTTTAAGATGCAAGACTATCGTCTTTTGATGACATTAGCAGAGAAACATGCAGATACGCGGCCAATTTTTCAATTCTTACCCATGCAGTTTCTCCATAGATTTGTGAAATACAAAATTAACAGTCATTCAAAGATATATTTCTGAAAGCGCAGCCAGTCCAACATTGCAGTATCTAATTTTCATTCTGCTTTATGCAGGGAAGTCTTTTTCTATGAAAGGATCAGTTGAGCTTCCTTCGTGAATAAAGATTAGACTGTTGCAGACATGCCTAGTACCCACCTCTGCTGCTTAGGAGCTGTTATAGGGAGCGGATGTACAATGTACACATAATTTTTATGTGATGGGAAATCGATGTTTGTAGGCTCCGTCGTTTGTTGATTGTAAGGCAGCAGCAAGTTCGTTGAAAGATATATAATAAAACTTTTTTTTTTCTATGAAACAACCCTCTTTCATTGAGTTGTGGGAGACTTATATCCCACTTCTTTCTTGAAAGCCCTTAACAATATAGAGCTCAAATTGTGTATATATTACAAGAAGCTCGTGGAGTTTACGAGTATTTACTCATATGTAATGCTAGTTAGTTTTTGCGTTTTGTAACCTGAGGGGTGACTTCATAACGAAAATTGGGAAACAAGAGCTCTTGTTACATTTTAGAAAATATGGTATGTAGGCCATCACAAATGCTGCCGAAATCCATGATGTCATGATGAGATTGTGTGAAAGTTTTAAGGTGGTGACACGACCCAACTTTTCTGTTGGCTTGTCTTCTCGTGGCAACGTTGGTTCTCCAGATAATGTGAAAGGGTAGCTTGGGCGGGGGGATGGGGTAATATAGATTAAACAACTTTGCTCTCTCGCGTTAACTGTGAGATTTCACACACTGTGCTGATTAATGCGCAGCCCCTGGCTACCCTGCACCGGGCACGCAGCCCCCACCGCCTCCAGGATTTGCAGCGTCGGCTCCTCCCCCAGGCGGTGCTGCTCCTCCCGGCGGCCCTGCGCCCTACGCAGCATGGCTCCCACAGGGCACCGCCGTGCCCACGGTGGTAGTCAATGTGGCTGAATGGGGGCCTTACCCAGTGCAGCTGACGTGCCCGAACTGCGGCGCACAGGTGCTGACGGCCACGTCAACGCGTCCAGGCCTGCTCACTTGGCTGCTGTCAGGGGCGTGTGTTCTGTTTGGGTGAGTACTTACTACACACTGCTCTTGTGTACCGCATAGGTTATGTACAGTTCAAAGCTTGTTTACATTTCTTTACATTGCCTGCCGATTTCTATCAAAATGAAATTCATGATAAAGAAAGTGATAAAACAGCAGCCTGATATGATTATGAAACGAGTTGAAACACCGCTGTAACCATTACCTCCAAAAAGATTCACAGTCACCATATACCCTATTAGTGATAATGTGCATGTTAAGTAATCTATTGTGATAGGTACACAATATGAAAGCCTGCCAGGTCTGTGGATCCGGAAAGACAAAGAAAATGCTTTGCAGTACAGTAGACGTAGTACTTGCATTTTGTTTCGTTCATCTTATCTTGTCCATCAAATGGTCTTTCCGTACTGCATGTGCTTTATAATTTTATTTAGTAGAAGGTGACAGACGTGGTCGTCCACATGCGAAGTAAAAAGCATTTTGCTTTATACCTATATGCTAACGTCAAACTTGATGATCTCTGTTTGAAACTGCACCTAAATATATCGCCGGTCACTTGAAGAGCATGTAAAGTGCATACTTTGCTGTCCAAATAAGGTAGGAGCTCATCTGCTGAAAAATCTTTGCAAGTGTCGCTGTGGGCAACGTTTCGACTAGTGAACTTCTTTTTCAAGGCTGCTACTTGGTGCCTTAGCACCTGTACATTAATTCTTCCTAGCCTCTCCTACAATCCAAACAAAGGAGGAGGAAAGTGGGAGTGTGCAAACCTGGGAGAGGGGAAGACGGGTGAAGGAAAGAAGAAATGGAGAGGAAAAAAAATTGAGGCAGCTTCTCTCGAGCAGTGCCAAGCCTTAGGGATGAGCAGAGCTGAGCGGCCTTCCCTCTTTCTATTTTTCTCTATTTTTTCTCTTGTTTTTATCACTATTTTTTTCACCATCTATTTCTTTCTCTTGCTTGTTCATCCTATCTTTTTTCTTTCTCTCATATTCTGTTTCCCCTTTTGTTTTGCTCTTTGTTTTTCTGTCTCGTTTCTGTGTCAGTTTGTTTCTATCTATATTTCTTTGTCTTTCAGTGACCCCACCCCTGCGCCAAAGCGCGCCAAATCAGATTTACTGTGTCAAAGTCGGATTTGGGAGCGTCTATCACCGGCAAAAGACAAGCCAGCGCATCAATACATGTGCGCCTTGTTCTTGGGGCCACCAAAGTCACAATTACGTACCCATTTTATTGCGCTAAATAAACAGCAGTGGCGCATGTGTCCTTAAATCCATGATGCTATGTTTTGTGCCGACGCAACTTTGTTGTACAAGCCGGCTTAGCAACGAAATGCGCACTCCGCAGGGGCTCATGACGTCTAGTCCAATCAGTAGCGTGAAACTGTGGCTGTAATTCATAGGCGGACGTCGTCCATTTCAGGAATGCAGCTGATGGCTCCTTCGAAGAGTTACGCAACATGTAATAAAGAAATAACTGTACGCATGCTGCCAGAATGTCTGTCACAACTATTTCTGGACATCGAAATCAAATTTTTCGTGCTTCTCGCATCCGCAGAAGAACACGTGAAGGGAGGGAACACGTTGACACTTTTTCTCTAATATACTTCATTCATGGATTATCATACAAAAAAGCTTTTTCATAATTCCTTCCAGCTGCACGTACCGTATTTACACGATTGTAAGACGACCCTTTTTTTCAAATTTGACAATCCAATGTTGGGGGGTCGTCTTAGAATCGAAATCGAACCATGTACCTTAGAATCGAAATCGAACCATGTATTGTCATCTCGAATAGTTTCCCGCTCAACCCAAAGCGCATAGTTTTCCGCGTGCTTATACAAAAGCTTTTCTTTTTTTTAGCATCTACTGCGCGCATTACGAGTGCCTTTATGACGAGCGCACGGCTCTTGAGGGAGCACCGGTAATCGATGGAAGAGCCGCCGTAGGGGGGTATTGGTAGTTGACGGAAGAGCTCCTCTTTGTGATAGAATTTTCTAAGCGGGCGCGTCGCCGCGTGCTCCTGTCGCTTGTGTCCACGACCGGTTCTCTCGAGTCACTTCTGTCTGACATGAGTACCGTAGGCTCGAAGAACACTCGGCGCTCGTTTACGGCAGCGTTTAAGCGGGCTGCTATTCTTCATGCGGAGGAAACCAACAACTGTGCAGCAGGACGGAAGTTCGGAATCGGTGAATGTGTGGTGCGGAAGTGGCGGCTTCAGCGCGAGGAAATTTGCTCGTGCGACTCCAAGTGCCGTGGCTTTCGCGGGCCGAAGTCTGGCCGCTTTTCGGAACTAGAGGCGAAGCTTGCGGCCTACGTGACTGACCTACGCGATCGATCGTTGTTGGTGTGATCGACCGCACCACGCGATGCCGTGGTGCGGTCGTTCGCGAAGTGTGGACTCACACTTGACGACGACGTGCTGTGGGACTGCAGCAGCAATGACGGCAGCAGCACCAGCGAGGACGACTCCAGCCACGATGAATAATCCTCCGCAACCACGTGAATAAATTTCCCTTGTGTAAAATGCGCGCGTTCTTTTTTTTTTTTTGAGGTGCAATTTTGGGGGGGTCGTCTTACATTCGAGTCGTCTTACAATCGTGTAAATACGGTAACTGTTTATAATCGCTATGGGAGGAAAAGCACCTGAAAGATACTTTCATTTCGAACTCGAGATTGCCAAGGTCCGAATTGAAAATTCTCACGTGCTTTTTTTTTTTCCATTGTCATCTCATTAATAGAAGCATGCCTCGTGGTCGGAGGAGCCACAATTCGGTTTTAATACGCACAGCTATATCGAGGCCATCGCTGGCGGCTATAGTGTCGGAAGGCCTGTGAAGCGGCTACTCCTTGTTAGATGTCCGCCTCACGCGTTCCAAGGGCAATAGCTGGTGGTAATAAAAAAATAATAATAAACATCACAGCATCTCCTTCATTGCTTCGTTTTGAAAGGAAGGGGAGGTACTGCGTTGCATGAGGGGTGCAGTAGCTGGTGCACGCTATCTCAAGGCATAATAGGGAGGTTTAGAATGGCGCATCACAAGGGCTTGCGGTGCGGTCGCTGCCACTGCATATGCGCCGTAACGTAAGCTGGCGTTCTTGTTTGCGGTCCACCCACAGAAAATCCAAAATAGTGTGCGGCCCGCGAGGCCTGCAAAACGCTGGTGACGAGGCTATGTGTAGTTTCCGTGCATTTGGGTTTGCGGGGAGATTAAAGTTCCTAGATTTTTTCCTAGGAGGGGCAAACCTTATTGTAAAAGTCTAACGGCGCCTGCTACGCCAGCAAAGCCCGGAGAGCCTGGGAACGTTATTCTAAACCTCCCTAATGAGACTGCTCATGACCTTTCTGTACAACTAACATCTACCCCGCCTTTAGATAACTGACAGCACGGAAGCTTCGGGAACTAGAATGATCATTGACCCCTTAGCCAGTGTTTTTTAGAGATACGTGATATCGGATCTAAAAGATACAATTTCTTAGTTTTACTTCCACTCCTAGCAATGAATGCGATACCAACAAATCGTATTGTTATACCAAATAATACGGCTTGATGTCATTCGTGAGAAGCACTAGCGGCGGGGTTGCCATTTCTAAGGTGCACGCTCGCAAGAATTTGCTGCACGCGCGGTGTTCGATATCCACGACTTCAGTGACTAAAGACCCCAGAAACATCTCTTGCGTGCCGATGCACATACAGATAGAATCGGACTTGTCTAGAGCGCCCAGCAGGCTGCTCCAGCTGGCATTTTCTTCAGAAATATGTAGAGAGACGCCGTAATGCTACTAAACATGGTCGTACTACTTGTTAGGCCCTTATGCTGTAATGTAAGCATCAACAAAAGCTTGTAGCTAACATGAGATAGGAGCCACGGCCAACAATAGTGTCGACAGGCACGCCGCGCTCCACTGCTCTAAATCAGTGTGATTCTATCAGTGCAGCACGAACTGCACATACGAATGCACCTCCGAAATGGCGCGACGATGGCGTGGCTGTTTTGCGATAAAGGCTCAGTGCATACCTTTATATGGACACTCTAAAAAGTGAAGAAATTTTCGCGCAGTCTGTTCACATTGAGAGTACAGTCGAACCTCGATATATCGAACGGCGCGGCGATCGCGAAATAGTTCGATATATCCAGAATTCGATATAAAAAATCACGAAAAAAAATGCGTCAACAGCTTGCTAAAAACAAGCAACGAACCGTTCAAGCGTGGTGCAGTAAATACTCACTTGAAGATTGAAACATATTATTTATTGTGTTGGTTTAAAATATTGAAAAAGAGTAGCCTGCTTTTTGTTGGCCATGGCGTGTTTGACGACTGCGTCCTCAATATAGTCCAGGCGATCCATAAGTGATAGGCCGGTGCCTTCAATCGCGCCGCAGTGGCGGCGCACAAGGGCCAAGGCAGCTGCGACCTCAGGTGATGTCGGGAGCGGGGCACCATCAGCGCTTGCGGGACCCATCTCGGCAGAGTCTTCATTTGGCTGCTGAGCAGTTGCTTCGGCGACAATCTCCACATCCGTGAGCTCCGCCGTTCGGAGTTAAGCCTGTCGCGCACCACAGCGCGCGACAGGCTTAAGCGCCACTTTAACGTAGCGGCGCGCGTACGCCGCTACGTTAAAGTGGCGCTCTCGGCGCCATCGATGTGTGCAGCATTCGTAAACGCCCGCCGCTCTACCGCTACTTTCGAGAGTTGCGGGAAAGCTCGCCGCCTGTCAATGGAGCGCGGGCGGTTTGGGGTGGCTGAGTTCGATATATCCATAATGTGTCAAACTTTGTTCGAAATAAAAAATCAATAATGCATGCGATTTCCCGCGTGATATAGGAACTGTTCGATATAGGCAATAATTCGATATATCCGTGTTCGATATATTGAGGTTTGACTGTACAAGGTAGAAGGTTATACCAGCCGTGAATAGCGTGTGCGCCAGCAATCACACCCTTATGCCCCTGACACACGGGCACCCTGAAGTCCTTTAGACAAGGGGACATCTTTTGGAAAGGCGTTCGGGCACAGTGACACACGGC